TTTTCTGATTGCTGCACATATAGGAAAGTTGTTGATTTCTATAGATTAATTTTATACACTGACACCTTACTGAATTTTCTTATTATTGGTATTGGTTTTGAAATTGTTTCTCATGAAACTTCCAGGTAAATACTCTTATCATTTATACATAATAATAACATAGCCCTTCTTCCAATGTTTACTTATTTATTATTTTATATTGCATATCTAGTATTTTCAGAACAATATAAATACTTGTGGGAAAAGTGGGAACTTTGGCCTTGTTCCCCATTTTAATGGGAATGCATCTAGTAGTTTGCCATTAAGCACAATGTTGAATTTTGTCTTTAAAAAATGTATAAAGACGGGCTGGGGTTGTAGCTCAGTGATAGAGTGCTTGCCTCGCCCATGTGAGGCACTGGGTTCGATCCTCAGTACTATATAAAAATAAATAAATAAAATCAAGGTAATGTGTCCAATTGCAACTAAAAAATATTTACAAAAAATGTGTAATGATAATGATGGTGTCAAGGAAATAGCCTTATTTCCCTATTAGGTTTTTTTCCTCAATCTGGAAGGGTATTGAATTGTCCTGAAATATATTTTTAGATTAGGGAGATTGTCTTATGTCTTTTATCCTTTGATTTATCAATGTTGTCATTTATATGAATAGGTTTTCTAATACAGAAGCAGTCTTTTATTTCTAGGATGAGCCTTACATTTTATGATACATTATATTCTTAACATCCTACTGCAATCTCTGCTGTATTTTAAGAATTTTACATCAATGTTCTCAGATGAGATTGGTCTCTAGTTTTCCTTTATATATTTTGTAGTTGTTGGGTTTGGCTATGTTAAACCAGGAATATTATGCAGGAACCTGTCTCCTCTGTTCTCAAGATTACAGGGTCTAGAAAGTGTATAATATAATTTTGATATTGTGTATGTTTCTGGGAGATTGGTAGAGTTAATGCAAGACTATGTGATTGTGCTATTTTGGGGGGGGTCAAATTTATCAATATTTTCTACAATAACTGATGGGTTTAGATATTCTTTTCTTCTATCAGTATTGGTAATTTTTGTTTGTCTAGAAACTCAGTCAAAGTTTTTATAAAGTATTCACTTACTCTTTTCATTTACTCTATAATTGTGGTAATTTCTCCATTTCACATTTTGGGTGTTTGGGTTTCTTAAAATTAGATTAACAATTTTTTTCCTGTTTTATATTTTCTTTTGAAGAACTGGCTTTGGGCTTTCATTATTAGTTCATGTGTTTTGCTGTGTATTATTTCTGCCATTAGTTTTATTTATTATCTTTCTGCTTGATTTAGCTTTATTTTTGAGATTTCCCTAACTACTTTTGTTGAATGCTTAATTCATTTATTTTAATTTGTTATTATGTATTAATGTAAGTATTGAAGGCTACAGATTTTCCTTGGACTACCGTTTAGTTCACCATATCCTTCAGCTTTAGATATTTTTGTTAATGTTACTTTATAAGCATTGTGCAATTTCATATAACATTTCCTCTTTGATTGAAGTAGAAGGGGGTTTTTCCTTGTTTAATTTCTGGAGGTTTTTTTTTTTTTTACTTTCATATGTGTCTTTGTTTTTAGCATATGAAGAAATTTAGATTTTTCCATTATCTTGATTTTTGACTGTTGTGGTCTGTTTTAAATTGAACCATCTTACATTTTGCTTCTGCTTTTTAATATTTTAGCATTTTCTATGGATTTTACTTTATGATTTTTTTGTCTGTGAGGTGCTGGGGATGGAACCCAGAACCTTGCACATGTTAGGCAAGTGCTTTACCACTGAGCTACACCCCAGCCCTGCTTTATGAATTTCTTCTCTCTTTAAAAAGAAAAATAATCTTTTTTTTTAAAGATTCAGAATATTGCCATGCACAGAGGTGCACACCTATAATCCCAGCAACTTGGGAGGCAGGAGGATCGCAAGTTCAAGGTCATCCTTGGCAACTTAATGAGACCCTGTATCAAAATTAAAAACGAAAAAAGGGCTGGGATGTAACTCAGTGGTAGAGCACCCCTGCATCACTCAATTCTCAGTACTGCAATAATGGAAAAGAAGAGAAAAGAAAGAAGGAAAAGAAAAAAATAAGAAAATGAAAAGAAGATTCAGGGTACTTAGATCTTCATCATATATTACATGTGTTATAGTCATTAACATTATAGTGTCCTTCTTTGTCTTATTCATTTCTTTTTGCCTTTAATTCAACTTTTTATGATATGAATATCATGACTTGCATTTTAAAGTTTTGGAATTAATTAATTTATTAAACAAATGTTTATTGAACACCTACTATGTGCCAGGCACTAGAGACCAGATGAATGAGACAGACAAGATCTCTGACCTCATGGGGCTTATATTTCAATTTGAGAGTGAAATACCAAAATAAATAAGTAAAAATAAGTATGTAATATAATATCAGTAGGCTGTGATAAATGCTCTGAGAAAGAACAAAGTAGAATAAGGATGATTAAGGATTAGTCATCTCTATTTTAGATCAGCTAATCAAGAAAGGCCTCTCTGCTTGATATTCATTTGTCATCATTTACTTTCTACTCACTACTTTTGGTTTTTATTTTTCTGGGAGATATGCCCAAATGAGAACAGTAGGGATGTCTGGATATGAATTTCTGATGCAAGTGAACAAACACCTAGCCAGGATGGGGGCTGGAGATAAGGGGAATGAAGGCCATTTTACTTTCTATTCTGTCTGAGCTTGGCTACCATTATGTATATTATCTTTTAATTTTGTATTATTATTATTCTTATTTTTTTGATACCAGGGATTGAGCTCAGGGGCACTTAACCTCTGAGCCACATCCCCAGCCCTTATTTATTTTTTTAATTTTGGGACAGGATCTTGCTAAGTTGCTTAGGGCCTCGCTAAGTTGCTGAGGCTGGCCTCAAACTTGCAATTCTCCTGCCTCAGCCTCCCAAGCCACTGGGATTACAGATGTGTGCCACTGCACGTGGCTGTATTATTATTTTTAAAAAGAAATATTCCTAGTCTTCATTATGATCACTGAATGGATATTCTGTCTGATGACAGAATTTCCTGTCACTGGGCAGGACTTAGAATGATGGCTGTTTTCTCATAGGCTGAAGCAGGAAACCAGATCTGTATTTTAGAGGGCTTAACTTTTTATACCCTGAAGTCAAAAAGATGTCTTTTTAACTTTGGTCACTCTTTATTTTAAAGAAGTTTGGCATTTGACACTGACTCAAATAAACCTGGACTTTTTTCCTTAGAGATTTTCTTCTATCACTTATGAGAATTTTATTTCACCTCACAAGGGATAGTCTTTAATTTTCTGATAGTTTTTCCTTATAAGTATATTATACATATATGCATATAATATTTATACATGTATATACATACATCAGATATGTAGTACATTAAATTTTTATAAACCCATACATCCTTAACTCTTGAGCTTGAATTTATTTTGGTGTCTAATAAGTGGTCTAGCTCCAAATAGCACCATTCTGCAGTTTTCTCAAAGACATTTATTAAATAGTCTTTCTTTATCTCCTTGTTTTGGAAGATTACACATATATGATGATTTGATAGATGGTCTTGTTGTTTCTGGTCTTTCTATACTGTTCTGTTTGTCAAGAACACACTTTCAATCATTGTTGTCTTGTAAAATGTTTGATAACTTACTTATCCCCTTTCCCATTTCTTCTATAGCAGAACATTCTTTAACATCCTTTCCTTTTTTGCAAGTTTATATTTAAAAAAAAAAAAATAGACGGGCATGATGGTGTGCACCTGAAATGCCAGCAACTTGGGTGCCTGAGGCAGGAAGATCACAAGTTCAAATCTAGCCTCAGCAACTTAGCGAGGCCCTAAGCAACTTATGGAGACCCTGTCTCTAAATAAAACATAACAAAAGGGCTGGGGATGTAGCTCAGTGGTAAAATGCCCCTGGGTTCAATCCCCAATGGTTAAAAAAAAAAAAAAAAAAAAAAAAAAAAAACTGAAGTAAAAAAAAATAGAAGTTTAGAATTTTCTATATTTGAAAATTCTGATTGAGACTTCAGTAGGATATATTATAAAACTCATTGAGTTCAGAGATGATTAACCACTGAGCCACAAACGTATGAATGAACAGAAATGTATGAATGGCCTGCTTGTGTTTTTTGTTACATATATAAGAACATGGAAAGTATGCACATCCCATTCATGATATAGGTTGCATCTGGAGGGGCAGGGGACTGGACACAAAGCATGTTATTTCTATTTGTCGAGAAAAATGTACAATGCATGCATAAAAATGCTAATTCTGGGTGGTACTTGGAAATGTGGTTATTTATTATAGCAATCTCTGTACATTTCTAAATATTTGAAATCTTCATAATGTAAAATCAACAAAAACAACAGATAAAACAGGATAAATAGACTTGTAAGTCCCAGAACACAGCCTATCCAATCTAAGTGGTATAAACAAACTGAGGTAGTATGTGTGTATCTCGACTTTGGAGCTAGACAGTTTAAGTTCAGATTCTAGCTCTGCCACTTATTAACTTTATGACCCTAGGAAAGTGACTTGACCTGTCCATGTCTCAGTTTCCCCATCTGTAAAATCATGATAATAATAACTACCACCTAGGCTGATCATGAGGGTTAATTAAATTAAGATAAGGAACACACTTAAAATATTACCTGATACTTAGTATATGCACAATGAATGTTAGAAGTTGTTATTAGTAGTATGATTATTATATTTCTTACACATATTGCAGTGTTTTGTGGCCATTTAAAATTTAATGTAAATAGGGGCTGGGGTTGTGGCTCAGTGGTAGAGCACTTGCCTTGCATGTGTGAGGCCCTGGGTTGGATCCTCAGCCCCACATATAAATAAATAAAATAAAGGTCCATTGACAACTAAAAGAATATTTTTTTAAAATTTACATAAGTAATGGCGTCCAAACTGTGGACCTGTCCACCACATGCTTATGTTACTTAACCTTCATCTGCTGTTTTGCAGGGAAATGGCTCATTCCAAGACTAGCTTCCCATGGGCAACCCCCTTCCATCCTTGCCTCGAGAACCCATCACTGGATTTATCAAGTCATCGAGCAGTTTCTTCTCTTGATCTCCTCGGAGACTTCAAACAGGCCTTGAAAAAAACGGAGGAAACTTCCCTTTATGAGGAGGGGAGCTCCCTTGCCGCCATGCCCCGCCCACTGCGCAGCCGGGCCTTCTCAGAGAGTCACATCAGCTTGGAGCCCCAGAGTACCCGGGCCTGGGGACAGCCTCGCAGGGAGCTCTTTAGCAAAGGGGATGAGACTCAGCCAGATCCTCTGGGAGCCAGGAAGAAGGCCTTTCCTCCTCCTCGCCCTCCTCCTCCAAACTGGGAGAAGTACAGGCTCTTCCGGGCAGCCCAGCAGCAGAAGCAGCAGCTGCAGCAGCAACAACAACAACAGCAGCAGCAGCAGCAGGAGGAGGAGGAAGAGGAGGAGGAAGAGGAAGAAGAAGAGGAAGAGGGAGAAGAAGAGGAGGAAGAGTTGCCACCCCAGTATTTCAGCTCAGAAACCACTGGTTCCTGTGCTCCCAATCCTGAGGAGGTCCTAGAACAACCACAACCCCTTGGTCACCGGGAGGCTTCAAGGCAGGGTTCACAAAGCCTCCCAGATCAAGAGTCCTTTGCTCTCCATTCCAGTAATTTCCTGCCTCCAATAAGAGGCCACCCGGGTTCTCAACCTGAGCAGGCTCAGCCCCCTTGCTATTATGGTGTTGGTGGACTTTGGAGGACATCAGAGCAGGAGGCCACTGATTCCCCCAAGTAAGTGTTTGTGAAAGGTATTGAGTCCCTGAAGAAGTAGGCAGCATTAGTTTGAATTCTATCTCTGCCATTTTCCAACTGGGCAGGTCAATGAAACTACTACTAGCCTCAGTTTTCTTACCTGGAAAATGGGTGTGATGATGCCTGCTCCTTATGGTTGTTGTGAATGTTAAGATAATTTATGTGAAGGACACAGATACATGCTTAGCACTGAGTAGATGCTCAGTAAAAGAGAGTTGTTGATATTCTTATCCCTAACATCATTATCAAAATACTGTTTTATTTCTCAGTTTTTCTTCAAAATATACATCAGTATCTGGCCCCTGATCCTGAAGCCATGAAACCCTTCTTGCCTTTACTAGGCCTTTCTCAGACATCTGGTTCAAGGTTTTTTTTTTGTTGTTGTTGTTGTTGTTGTTTCACTTGCTCTCCAGAACAAGAGGCTAGCTTCTGGCAACCTGACCTGCCTCTACTTTAGGATAAATAGCCTGCACCTATAAATTCTACCCCCAACCCTATCATCAAAGGTATTCCTGGGGCTGGGTACTTGTCCCCAGCCCCTTATGTCAGCTAAGTACATTGTCCTTATGACAGCTAAGTGCATTCTTTGTCCTACTTTCTCCCCTTTCTGTTTCCCTGCCTCCTCATATTTGCTTTGGTGGACAACAAGTGGTAATTAGGTTGACTAGGCAGGGAGGTCAAGTAGGAATGTGGTCTGAGAGCAGGACTTCCAGTGTCTGCTAACTCCACTGTGACATTGCTTGTTTGCATACCTCACAGTGCCTGGTTATCTTTTAAGCAGCAAAGCAAAACCCCAGGACCACCATTGCTCAGTGCTTTGGCTCTCATGTCTTCCTGCCCTCCTGAGGGGAGACATGTGCACTCTTGTGAGAGGTGGGTGCCAGGAGGTAGATACATTATGAGTGCTTTCCTTAAATCCTTTATAGCAGGAACTTGCCAGGGACATGTTGTTATTGGAAGTACCTTGTTATTGTGTCTTTGATTGACAGACAAATCTTGTTACTTGGTGTTTTAGTCAGCTTTTTCACTGCTGTGACCAAAGGACCTGACAAGAACAATTTTTTTGTTAAATAATTTTTAGTTGTCAGTGGACCTTTATTTTATTTATTTTTATGAGGTGCTGAGAATTGAACCCAGTGCCTCACACATGCCAGGCAAGCACTCTACTACTGAGCTACAACTGCAGACCCTGACAAGAACAATTTTAAGGAGGAAAAGTTTATTTTGGGGTTCATGGTTTCAGAGATCTTAGCCCATAGATAACTGACTCCATTCTTCAGGGCCCAAAGTGAGGTAGAACATTATGGCGGGAGGGTATGTAGAGTAAAGCAGGTCTGGACATGGGCACCAAGAAGCAGAAAGAAAATAAGCTCAGCTCACCAGATACACGCCCTCAATGACACACGCCCTCCAGCCACACCCTCCCTGCTTTCAGTTACCCTCAGTTAATCCCTATCAAGTGATGAATTCACTGATTGGGTTAAGGTTCTCATAATCCAATCATTTCACCTCTAGGCCTTCTTTCATTGACTCACACATAAGCCTTTGGGGGACACCTCATATCTAAAGCATAACACTTGGTTATCTGGAGGTTTTGGAGCAATTTTCCAGTCCAAGGTGCCACACACAGAGCATGTACAGGGCCTGGCTCCCAGGCACTGAGAATCCCTTATCAGGTCCCAATATGGCTGTTTCTCAAACTGTCTAGTTGGGCAGCATACTTATTGCAGCTAGAAAACACTTTGCAGAAAGTTACTGTAATGGTTACTCATCAGAGCTGGGAGAAGGGAAAGTAGCTCAGCACATAATAGGTGCTGGTTAAGCATTTCAGAAGAAATGACTAAATGAATGATTGAACATTTATTAAGCATTTGCTATGTGCTAGACACTGCTAGGCATTTTCTGTCCATTATTTCATTTAATCCACCCTATAGCCCTATTGGCCATTATTATCCCAATTTGACAAATAGGAAAACAAAAGCTTAGCAAATGAGGGACTAACTAATTTGGTGTTATACAGCAAAGATTCAAAGTTAGATCTATGTGATTCTAAAACCCATTAGTATTTTATCTTCTTCAACAACCTCTCTAGGGAGGACTTATTGTTCCAGTCATCTAGGTCTTCAGGAGACCCCCTTCCCTCCTGTAGAGCAGTACTTGTGGGACCTCCATCATCCTCTTTATGTATTTTCATTCACCTTGGCACTTTGGACCCAGAGATGTTACTACAGATCTTATAAACTGGTCCAGAGATTCTGGGGGTGGGGTGTTCTAGGGATTGAACTCAGGGGCATTCAACCACTAAGCCCCATCCCCAGCCCCATTTATATTTTATTTAGAGACAGGGTCTCACTGAGTTGCTTAGGGCCTCGCTATTGCTGAGGCTGGCTTTGAACTCGTGATCATCCTGCCTCAGCCTCCCGAGCCGCTGGGATTGCAGGCATGTAAGGTGTGTGCCACTGCACCTGGCTGGAGACTTTTCTTTACTGACTGTGGGATACAAGGGGAAAAAAAAAAAAAAAAAA